TGCCTTCCATGAGAGCTTCCCATTGAGCCTTGAATCATTCAATTTGGCCAAAGTTTGAGCGAGTTGCAACACCTCAAAGTTGGTACCTCAAGGCTAACTTCATGCACACCATGCAAGCCAAACGCGTGTGCTGGCCAGGAAAGCCAAATCACACTTTTTCCTCAAGTTTTCAACATCATTTCTCCATCATGTCAGCCTCAATTTGAAAAACTCAAGGCCCTATGATGTTCTATATTGTGAGATCTCTTGAAAGGCCCCTCGAGCATCCAAAACGCACGAAGGATTTTCAAATGGCCTAAGCATAAAGTCAGCCGGTCAGAATTGTGGACAACCATGGTCATGTTGCAGAATTTGCATAATTTTTTTTGATTGATTTCAGGTTATATTTGGCATGTGTCTAGAACGAATGGTTGCATCCTTTTCTTGTCAAATGAGTCCAATCAAAGAACGCATGAAGCATGACCATATCCTCTCAAATTTTGCCAAAAATAGCAAGATCATCTCAACTAATTTTTTGGCCCATGTGAACACTCTTGCCACATCAGCATTCTCACGTTTTACTTACTGAATTCATCTCCTTTTACAATCCACAACGCATCCCACAGAAGAAAAAACTATATCAAACGCAGCTTGCCTTTGCTTTTTTTCAAAAAAATCAGAAATGCCACACTTGCCCTCCAACGGTTATCAACTGTTTTTACACTCTTGCCCTCACTCCTGAGTTGCTATATAAGCACACTCCATCACTCATTTTGCAACATGCTTGATACACACAAAAATCCGATCTGAAAATTCTCATCACTCTCAAATTTTCCTTCTCTTCGAAGCTTCATTCTAATTCATTCCAGTCACGATTTCTTCATCTTTTCGTGTTCATTGAAGTTTCAGAACAAGGATTCAAGGCTTTCTTGTTGATCAGAGGCATTGAGTTGAGTTTATTTCTCACTCATAAGATGTATTTTCAGATCTAGATCCTTCAAATTATAACTTAAATCTTTGGTTTCTAAGCTTGTAATTTTTTTTATACATGTTTATACTTCATGTTTTAGGCTTTATTTTGATTTGATTGGAGTTGTATAGCATGATCTGATCTTCTGAATTTTTGTGCATTTTATGTTTTCCTGAACTTTCTGGCTTGATTTCTCATTCTATAGTGGTTGACTCGTGAATCTATGATTCTTACGATTTAGTTTGTTACTTGACCTTGAGAATTCACTTTGAATCACAGAATTTGGTTGAGAAATGGATGTGTGATGAGAACTATAGTTTGTGTTCATGAACTATTTGATTACGTGATAGTTAGGGCGTCATGAGGTTAGGGGTGAAGTGAGGTGGCGGTGCGTGATTGGATCATTCAATTTTAAATGCATTTTCATATTATTTGTTTTATCTGTTTTCTCTTATTTTTATTTTCTGACTAAAACATTTTCAAAAATTCTAAAAAATTTACCATAGGCTAATAATAATTTCTAGTATTTGTCATATTTTTTTTTGAATTTTTAAAAATGTTTTGATTGGTTCAAAAATTAATAAGTTTAATTAATTGTTTGGTAATTGATTATTTTTATTTTAATAGTTCTTTTGATCTAAAAATTCCAAAAAAAAATGTTTTGAACTCTTAAAATAATTTAGAAATTGATTCTGATTTTTGTTTAGTAATTTTTCTATTTTTGATTAGAAATTTAATTTCAAAAGTTTATTTGAAATATTTGCTTCATAAGCTTAAGGAAAGATAAAGAACTTACAAGGTCGGAGCTAGTCCGACGAAATTCAAATCTGGCAAGGGAGAAAATGTAAGGTATGACTCTGAATTCTTTTCTTCTTAAAACCTTGTGTTCATCATCTATCCTCCTTCTTCAATGTTCTACCTTTGAGAATGTTGTTAGTTTGTTGTTGTTGCAGATGTGGTCTGCAATTCTAGGGAGTATAATGTGAGGTTTGAGGTTACGAGCTTTTTTGGTTTACCAGTATTGAGGTTTCGACTTGGTCGTAGGTGCTTTAGAAGGTTATTGAAGGTTAATGTAAAGCTTGGTTGATTGAGGTGTATGGGAGGTTAAAGGTGAAGTGTTAAGCTCTGATAAAATTTTCAGGTTTGCAAATTCATGGTGATGGTTCTGTAAGTTACTGGAAAATTGCAGTGAGGTAGTAATGGTATGAAGGTATGTATATCTTTTTCTCTCGTTTTTTTATCGTGTCCTCTCTTTATTATAGGAACAATAAGGTGCTTTTATAGTGTTAAAGAAAGGTGTTTTAGGGGGAAATTTTGGGGTTTTGAGTGGGTGTGATTAACTGTTTTATAACTTTGTTGATTTAGGTTTTGGTCTTACCATTTATGTTCAATGTTGCAGCAGGTTGGACTTATACATATCAGTTTTATTGCCATTATTTGAAGGTCATTTTGGACAACAACATTTGGACTATTTTTTGTGTTGCAGGTTTTGTGCAGATTCGACACAGATTTTGGACTATTTTGTTTGGCTTGTTTTGACATTGTTTTTGGACTATTTTTGTGTAAAGTTTAGATGGTTTTAGGCAGCAGCACATAAGACTTGAGTTTATTTGAAGATTAGGGAAAGGTTCTGAAACTTGAAGATTGAAATTTAGGAATCAAATTTGTAGTGTTGCATCTAAATAATGCATCTCGACCAATTGAATGGAAATGATATCTTACTTTGACGTAATCTCTTTGTAATTGAATGGAAATTAAATGAATTTGGAAACTTTTAATTTTGAATGTGTTTTTTGTAATGCTTGTTTGAGATTTCGTAACTTTAATCTAAGTATAATAAACTTGTGGACTAAGCTTTGATTTCAAATGAAAAAAATTCCCAAGTATTCCAAAAACATTCTCCTCCCATAATGAACTTTATTTTGTATGCCTTAAAATCTTATAGATGAACAATTCTTCGAGCCAAAATGAATGATGGAAAACCTTTGATGGATTTGTGATAGCTTCGAATCATGCCCCAATCTTGAATCATTTGAATTTTAAGAAAATAATCATGAATGGGTTAATCCATGAAATCCTGATACTAACATTGCCTAAAAGATGAGAATCCTTGCCAACACTAAAATTTTTTGATCAAGTGACTTTTTGATTTCTCCTTGTCAATAATTCATGTTAAACTTTTAATAAACTTTAACTTGATGCTTGTATCCCAAGTTAACCTTATGAACCATGTCAATCTCTTAGAGAAACTCTAATCCCAAATTTGAATCTTGAGATAATTTCATTCGTACCATGTGTCATACCCTAAATTTGTCCTACCTTTTACTTTTTTCTGGCTTAGACTTTGCATTTCATCTACATCATCTTCACTACTTCATTTGAACATCATGCATTTCGTTGAATGAATCACTTTGGTTCAAGAAGCAGTATTTGTGCAAGACTAGGGTTTCATGGTTTTGAGGTTCCTTCATCGGTTAAAGGCAGTTTCATCTGGTTCTTGAGCAGTGGACTATGTGGAATTAAATTTATTGTGTTGGATTAAAATATCCAGCGCCAACCTTAGTGATTCGAAGGGCTTAACATCCCCCCATGGGCGCCTACACAGGTGTGTTAGGTGGTCCAGGTAGGCCCCTTGTTTGATTCTCTATAAGGAAATAGAGTAGCACCTTGGCTACAAGCAATTGCTTTTAGCTCAGTGGTAAGCGCTTGATCCTACAAGTGGTATCAGAGCAAGGTCATGGGTTTGAATCCCCCCGGCTGACACTGGGGGGGGAGATTGTTGGATTAAAATATCCAGCGTCAACCTTAGGGATTCGAAGGGCTTAACATCCCCCCATGGGCACCTACACAGGTGTGTTAGGTGGGCCAAGTAGGCCCCTTGTTAGATTCTCTATAAGGAAATAGAGTAGCACCTTGGCTACAAGCAATTGCTTTTAGCTCAGTGGTAAGCGCTTGATCCTACATATTTAAGTTTGGATATCATGGACTTCTTCTCCTTTAGCTACAAAGGTTATTCTCCATCGAAATTCATCAGATCTTGGATTAGGGTTTACTTACCTATTTTTGTGTCAGCAGAGTAGGGTTTTGGGATCTATGGTTATTATGGTTTTCTCCTTCCGCAAGCTACAAAATCATACTCAAGGCTATCTTCTTCATCATTTAGCATTTAAGACATGAATTAGGTTTTCATATTCATCAAGATTGATCTTTCCTATATTTTATTGGAGGTTTATTGGATATCAAGGTATTCTTTTATTACTTCAAATCTTATCTGCTATAAGATTCCTCAAGGCCCTATTCTTTTAAATTCAAGGTATGGTATGGATTGAGCTGAGCTAGGGTGCAGAGGTGAATTGGCGAATTTATTTTGGTTAAGATAATATTTGTTCTCATCAAACACTTATCATTTCAATGCCAAGATAACTTGGATTTCAAAAATCGAAGTTTGGGGTTGAAGGTATATCAAATGGATTTGGATGGCGTAGAGAATAAGTTACGAGTTACAAGACCCTTGAAATACTTAGTTCCAATTCAAGTTGCAAAGAATATTAATTCATTCGAATTTCATTCAAGTGTTTATTTTGGTTCAAATTTTTCAAGCTTGTCTAGCCCTTTTAAAAAGGGCATCTTTGAGAGGAAAGATTGTGTGTGATGTGAACTATGTGAATCAAAGAAAAGGAAGGCATTAAGGATTAAAGTTCTAAAAGGACAAGCGAAGAAGTATTTGAAGAAGGCATCATCATTGTTAAACTTCCAAAGTCATATACTGAAAAATCTTTCAAATTGTCTCTAATTTCCATATAACAAGTCCATCATTCATAAGTTCGAAGAGAAGACATTCAAGTTTCATATTCATTACATTTTTGAGATATTTACAAAGAAACTTACAAAGTTTAAATATAAGTTACAAGTATCTTATTTACAAAGAAAAGATAATTGTTCTTCAAATTTCCTTTCTCCATCTTTGAGCGACTTGTCCTCACACCTTGCCATGACTTCTTCTTGAAGTCTTCGATCTTGCCTTGCCCTTTTCACCTTCCATCAATGTCAAATGAAAACAAACAAGGTGTTGGTTAGAATAGTTATCATCAAAATAATGAAATTTAAACAAGAAGTGTCAAGCAAATTTCCTTCTAATCTCATCATGAGGGTTTATGCTTGGAATCAAAAATTTATAGGGTCATTCAATCATGTGCTAAGCCTAATTCAAAGCCTCATACAAATCAGATTTCTAAATTCTAAATCACGGGCCATGTTCCAATTGTAAATCACAAAATTAAATTATTGGTTCACAAAAAGAAACAGATGCAAATCTCAAGTGTAACAAATCGGAAATAGATTTGAAAACAAGCTGCAGCAACAACAGACCACAAAACGGTCCCAAAAATCAGACCTACTGCCCTGCACATTAATAGTCCAAAAGCTGTCCAAAACTTACACAAAATAGCAAAACAAAAGTTAACAAAAAGCATTGCCAAAAACTCAGCCTTGCTACCAATAATCTGTCTACAGTAACACCCAAATGCAACATGCCAAAATAGCCCCAAAACACTAAGTTTTGTTCATAACATTTCTAACAGCATAAACCCTTCAAAAAGTATATGAGAAAATAATAACAATAGTTCTGCTTCACAAATAGAAAAAGAGAAAAAGATTAAGATCAGAAGGGCATCACCAAGGTATAACGGTCCAAAAGTCTGTGTATACAACCCTGCATAATCTGTGTTATGATACTATCCCAACATTAGCCTCAGCAAGCATGCCAAAACCGAAACCTGCTGCATACCCTGCAAAACAACATGCATAACCTATGCACAAGTCTGTCCAAAACTTGAGATTTTAAGCCACAAAAAAACTCGAAACACATCAGTCTATAATACTGTCAAACCTGCTTCATGTCAGTCTAAACATCCCATAAAGACGGGTAAACATAAAGCTGCATCAGAAATTGTTAAAATAACAAACTAAATATGTTCAAAGGCATCCTGTTTTCCCCTAAAATTTCAGCCCTTCATCTATAAATACATCAACTCAGAATAATACGAGAGGGAGAGAATAACCAGAGAAACATCACCAGATGTGCACACAGAAAATTACACACAAGATACAGAGAAGAAATTAGAGAAAAATAACACATAAAAGTTTCATAAATCATAAAGAATCTTGCATAAAACTTATTTCCAAATCTCCATCACCATAACCAAACACCACAATATTCCCACCCTTCGACTACAAACAATACTAACCTTACCACTACTCAAATCCACATCCTGTTAAAACCTTAGGTACATCAAACACCATGCATAATCAAATCATCACATTCACCTCTACTTTATACTCACCATAAACTCTTCGCCATATTCATTATGTATTAGACTCTCATAAACCATCCTTAAACCTGCTGCAACATTTCCATCAGACCGTCTCTCACTCTGAACCACTTTCCTCCACTGTTCCCACCATTGACAGACCATCAATTCACTTAAACAAACCTTACACCCTTCAACCAACCTTAATGACCTTACACATAAAACAATCAATAATTACTCACTCACCTTCACAAGCAAATCCGTGAGCACGCACAACCTTACGATTTGTAGCACACCACACTTAACATGTAACACACGAAGAACAACAACACAATAACGCAATTCATAGAGGAAGATTAAGAGGAAGAGAAAGAAATTTCATAGAATAATCACAAGATTTGTATACTTGGAACTTCACGGTATCTTTGGATTTCAGTGTCACTATCACCATGCTTGAAGATGCGTCGGACTTTTCCGTCAGGTAATCACTCAAACCCCTTCCCTCTATGTAGGCTGAAGTGCATAAATCTAAAATTAGTTCAAACCGTAGCAAACGTGCGAATCGGATGCGAGAGAAACATGGTGAGATTAATGGAGTAAAAGTTGATTTTATAAGGAGGAGGAGAGACGAGGAGATCTAGAGATGATGAGCGGTGATTGTGGTGTTGTTCCGTGGTGATGCTGTAAGGATGATTGGCGGCGGAAGGCAAGGGATGACGAAGGTGATAAGGTTGCGGTTTGAGCGGCGATTCTTTATGAAGAGTGTGAAGAAGTTTCAATAGTTGAACCCCAATACTAAACCTAACGACAACCTTTGGAGTTGTTTTTTTTTTAATTTTAATTTTATTATTATTATTATTATTATTATTATTATTATTATTATTTTTATTATTATTATTAATTTGTTCATAAAACAAAATGATAAAAGAAATGTTTGAAATAAATTTTAATTAGACTTGTGAGAACATTTGTGTTTGGGCCTGAAACCAACATTCGTTTCTACACTCTATTGAGGTTCATTGCACCGTTTTTGCTAAAGTGATTGCCTAGAACAAAACAACTCTTGCTGGACTTTAGTTGTTGGGTTGTAGTGCCTGATTTTGGACCCACACCACTGTTTCTAATTTTTGCACCCCCTGGTTTATTTCATTTTCAATTTCTTTTGATTTAATTTTATTTACTAAATTAAAATTACAAAAATGTTAGAATAGGTTTTACTTTTATTTTAATTGACTTTATATTATAAAAATCCCAAAAAATATCACATTATAAGTTTATTTTTCTTTTGATTAATTCTTTACTAAAAATAAAAATACATTAGAATAAAGTAATATTAAAAATTTGATTTCCCCTTTTTAGAACTCTGTCATTTTGCACAATACAAATAATTTAGAATTAGGTTTTAATATTTATTTTCACAAAAAAATCATAAAAACATTATTGTATTATTTTCTTTTATTTACTTTATAAAAATCATAAAAATAAAACTAAGGTTTAATTTTCTTTATATGATAAAAATACCAAAAATATTTAGAATTAGGTTTTATTATTTAATTTCACAAAAAATCATAAAAATATTATAGTATTATTTTGATAAAAATCATAAAAAATGTTAAGAACTTAATTTCTTTATCTTTGTTTGATTACTCAGTTACATATCCCCTTAAGTGATTCCCCGAATCGATTAAACTCATGTTGATCATTTCATGTTGAATTAAACATTAGGGTCGAAACCATGTATGATAACTTTAGGATAGAATTTCCCTTTTACACTCAACATCAAGTCTACATTTTACATGACAACACTAGGGTAGAATTCCGCCCTTTGACTCTTTCTTCTTTGGTAAATTAAAACAAAACTTATTTTCTTAATCAAAAACCCAAAAACACTTAATCATTATTCAAACTCATTTCACACTTAAGAAAACTTTTAACAAATCAAAAGTTACCTCAAAAGGGAATGTTATCTCTGTTCTACCGCGATACTGGCCGTGCCTATTGCTAGAACACGTGTGTTAATGTCGCCAACTAAAAAACACCAACAAACCACATTTTTCTAGAATAACTACGGTGTTCTAATTCCTTCATGGTATACGTAGGAAAAGGGTTGCGAGATCCTCACAAACGCATTAATAAAAAACTATTTCTTTCCCGTTAGCAAGTAAGTTATAGATAAACACACCCTTAGAAGAAAACAACAAAATGGAAACCGTTGAGTACAACATATGTGAGGGGTGCTAATACCTTCCCCTTGGATAATCGACATCTTTACCATCTCTCTTGGTCGCAAGACCATCTTATCTATCCTCTTGTGGTTTTCTCGATATTTCCCCTTCCTTTGGGATAAATAAAGTTCAGTGGCAGCTCTGCGCTTTTTTCCGTTAGCTTCACCATGATGCACACCTCGTAACTCAAACAACAAGAATTCATGCACTGATGATCAATGGATCCTCGAGAGAAATATTAATTCCTTATGTCTTAACAAAATCCTTAAAACCTTAGTTCACAAGATTCAACATTGGAATACTTTTAAAGAATTCCCAACCAATGATCTTTGAACTTGTGTAGGGAAATAAACCCTAATCTTGGTTCTTAATAGAGGAAACACAGCACCTCGATGCTTGAGAAAAGGAGAATAGCCTTGTATCTTAATGAGAAAAGAAATCCATGATAACCACCCTTCAAAACCCTAATTCTGCATAATCCACTATTCAAGAACCAAATGGATTTGTCTTTATCTACTGAAGGAACCCCAAACCAAAATTAAACCCCAAATGGCACAACCACTGATGTTTTGAACTGTTGCTTTTTTCAATGGAAGAATAATATGAAAATGACCTAGAAAAAATGATGCAAATGTAATGCAGAGCCTAAGCCAGATAAAAGTGAAAATGATAGGACAAATTTAGGGTATGACAATGACAAACTGTAGTAGTAGACGAAATTATGGATCTGAAGCTAGACGTACTCATTCTCTTAAAATCCCTAACTTTTTCCTGGATCGCCCTTTCGGTTTTTAAATCCATCGGGATACCCTTGTTTTCCTAAGCCGCCCTTTCGGGTTTTCAACTTAGCGGGTGTACTTATTATTCTCTTTCATTATTTTCACTTCCTTATTTTTATCCCTATTTTTTACCCGAACCTTCTTTATTCATTTTTGTGGTTCGTCGGGATTCCCTTTTTTTCCTGAGCCGTAGACTCAGCGGTCTCTTTTATGCAAAGTATTTTTTAACTACATATGCATTCACAGGGATTGGGAAGTCTTCACCATCCATAATTGTAAGCATCATGGCTCCGCCATAGAATGCTTTCTTTACAACGAATGAAGCCTCATAAGTCAGAGTCCACTTGCCCTTAGGATCTCCTTGAGGAAGGATAATTCTTTTTAAAACAAGGTCACCAGCTTGATAGCTCTGAGGATGCACCCTCTTGTTAAACGCTCTTCTCATCTTCTTTTGGTACACCTGACCATGACATACAACCGCTAGTCTTTTCGCATTGATTAGGTTCAACTGATCCAACCAATTTTGCACTCATTCAGATTCATTAAGCTCAACATCTTTTATAATCCTCAAAGAAGGAATTTTGACTTCCACATGAAAAACCGCTTCCTTTCCATAGACAAGTGAGAACGGGGTAACCCCAATAGAAGTATGTACTGAAGTACGATAGCCATGCAAAGCGAAAGGCAACATTTAATGCCAATCCTTATAGGTTACTGCCATTTTTTGCACAATCTTCTTGACATTTTTATTGGCCGCTTCAACAACGCCATTCATCTTTGGATTATATGGTGAAGAATTGTGATGCTTAATCCTGAAGCTTTCACACGACTCTTTCATCATCTTATTGTTGAGATTTGACCCATTATCAGTAATGATCTTATTGGGAACCCTATAACGACAAATGATATTCAACTTGATGAAGCGAGTAACCACTTGCTTGGTGATGTTTGCAT